TGGTTTTTAGGTGACTTTATGTGTTGTATAATGTTATGTAATCGTGAAACTTGTTTGTGATCTTAGTTTATTGGATATATACTTCATGTGTTAGACATTTACGGTGGGGGTTAGTGTTGCCAACCATGTTCAAAATTCTGGATATCTGTTCAATGAGTTGTACTAAATGCCAAACGCATAGCATATTAAATGAATTCCAATGGGATTCATAGAATTACATAAGAATTCATAGAAAATGTAATTAAATATCATTCGATTACTAAAATTTTGTAATTAATATTTATTAACTGAAATAACATGAATAAAATTTAACAGTAAAAAGTAACTTATGTTTTCAATTGAAGCAAATATGGTTTTACAGAAGTTATGTAACACAACTACTCAGACAATTAAACGTGTTTTAATCAAAGGCTATGTTATGTGAATTTATGTATTGTCTAAATTAACTTGGTTGAATATAGTGAATCTGTGTGTAAACACACATTTTTGCACAACGTATTTGCAAATATCAATAAAATTAATAAATAGTGAAATAGTCATTAGAAGATAGTGAATATAAAACAAAAATATATTTCGAGTACATTTTGGGGACAAATCTTATATTTTTAATTAATAAATAAAATGAAAATTTTCAATCATATTATCCATTAAAATAAATGTATAGAATTAATATGATAGGACATAGGGCATATGGTTGGCAACACTAACCCCCACCGTAAATGTCTAACACATGAAGTATATATCCAATAAACTAAGATCACAAACAAGTTTCACGATTACATAACATTATACAACACATAAAGTCACCTAAAAACCAGTTATCAGACAAACAAATATATAAAGTGAACACTTGAGTGCATCCAAGAGCCAGTCATTGAGCTATTGTTATGTCATTCTTCAGTGTCTATACATATATCTCATGAGTTGTGAAGACAATACATGTAACCCTCGGAGACAATCCATAGCAAAAAACGTGGTCAAGTGATCGACACAAACAAATTTCATCGAAAACAACCGCCGAATAGGAAGAAAATTTACGGCAAAAAAATATTATTGTCTTTTCTTATTTGGTATCGATTTTGGTAAAGATTTGTTGTGTTTTTTGTGTCGAAAACAATCATTTATTTGAGTCTTATCTGTGATGCGAGCGAAAGAAAAACAGAGACATTATTTTTAAAAAAGTAATTTTTGTCGACAATTGCCATCACTAACTAAAATATATAGATATTGTATTTTTATAGTTAATACAGCATTTATATTAATATTAATATTACTATTTCTGGCCCAAAACCCTCACTACACTATCTCTCGTACGTCTATTGCATTTAATAATGTTTTAATATATTAATTATCGTAACGTTTCCTCAAAAGCGACAAAATTCATATCCGGAATATTGAATCCAAATGTTTATAGAGTTTTTGCGTCCAAAAAGAAACTTATGTTTAGACAACACTTATGTTTATCTATTTTATTAATAAATATCGATATATTATATTAACAAAATAGTGTATACAGTATAACTTTCACTATATTATTAACAGTGCTGCGAATCATATGAAATAATAATCATAATTATAAATTGAAATTTTGTCGTAAATAAGTTTTCTGTTAACAAACATAATATTACTGTTAATTAATATTACTTTTTTAAACGTAAGAATTGTATAATAGATTTGAACCAATTTTTATGCTTTCGTTACGCAATTTGCTTCAAGTGTTGTGTGTTTTAAAGAAAAGTTTTGTTTTTATATTTTCCTATTCGTATTGAACTGAAGGTTAAGACATAATTTAATTTTTCAGTTGTCTGTCAAGGCTTTCGGTGCGGTTTTATAATTACAACGGCTTAGAGATTGCGAACAAATATTCAGTTATATATTGAAATTATGACAAATATAAGTCCAAAAATCATAGTTTGCCATAAATTTCAATATTAATCATAAATAGTATAACTAAAGGAAAAAAATAAACCAAACTTTGAATTCTCGCAACACATCTACCATTCAATTCTCACCGGTGTTTGTGTCGACTCTCTGTTCGTATATATCATATAATAAGTGACATAAAAACTTGTTTCAACTTTTCTTTTGCCAATAATATCTATAATATCTCTCTTTAATAAAACACAACAACACTTACAGTCATTCAATTGAAACCAACTTTGCATTCAATCATTCAATCGATTCATTCAAATATCATTAATTGAGGCAAAAAATATTGCAAAATATCAGACATAAAGGGTTAATACATTTGCATCATTCAAACGATAACTAAATTGATAAAATGTCGGACACTTCGGCCAAACAAGTGGTTCTGGTGACGGGTGCGAGCGGTTGTCTCGGCCAACACATTGTGAAACTGCTTCAGGAAAAGGATGACAGCGTCCGAGAGATCCGATGCATGGATTTAAAGCCATATCAAAATAATTTGCGTGAGTTTTCTAATGCTTTGTTTTTATCAAATTTCTATATTTTTGTTACTCTTTTCTATTGACAATTAAATGGGAGTAAAATTTAATGGACATTAAAACTAATGACATTTTTGTGTTTTGCAATTTATTTTATGGCCCATAAAAACAGAGCACAAGACTGAGAAACCGATGACAATAATCACTGCAGACATACGTAATGAAAGGGCAGTCGTGAGGGCTCTCGAAGGCGTCGATTGTGTCATACATTGCGCCGCTTTAGTGGACACCAGTCTCTGGCCAGACGTCAAGTCAATGCAAAACATTAATGTCGACGGTATGGACGACACGGAGAGAGAGAGAGAGAGAGAGAGAGAGAGAGAGAGAGAGATTCCAAGACACTTACCATTGGTTCCAGTGATAAGATTTATGTGTTATAATCTGTTCATAAAAATATTGACAACTTTTTTAAAGAAAGATATAACTTATTGAACAAAAGTACAGTATTTTTATCGATTAAGTGATAAGAAAAGTTTAGTTTACTGTCAAAGTCTTGTCTATGAAATATGTCTTTAAATAAATTGAGGACAGAATAAGAAAAAGAGAAGTGAGAAAAAAGTGTTGAAAAACTATTTTAAGCTAAAATAAAGAGCAAATCTCTTACATAAAAGTATTACATATAACGAGTAAAACCAAACCACATATAAATTGCGATTAGATATTGAGCTGAAACCATGAGTTTGTTTGCTTGGATTCAATCCTCTCATTAAATATTCGCACAAATTTTCATTAAAAAGCATTTCAATGAATAAATATCTAAATATTTTTAATTAAATGTTATCTTAATCTACAAAATAACAGGAACTCAAATATTGATCGACGCGTCCGTTGAGCTGAACGTTAAATACTTTGTATACGTTAGCAGTGCTGATGCGGTGGTCGGCGACGATCCTATCTATTTCGGGGCCGAGAATACCACTCCTATCCCTAAGCGACACATTCTTCCCTATTCTAAGACCAAATTGGATGCAGAAGTGATTGTTAAGGAGGCCAATGGAAGACCGCTTCCAAATGGTATTAATCAATGCATTCTTGAATTGACACAATTGTCATATAATTTGTTATGCAAATCACAGGCACTGATAAACTGCAGACTATAATCGTGAGACCGTCGCTATTATATGGCGAAGAGGATCAACATTTTGTGACCACTGCTCTACGGATAGCTAAACAACATTCGGGTGTTTTGCGAACCATTGACAACGTGTTCGTACGGATCCAACCGACATATGCGGGTAACGCCGGCTGGGCCTGCATTCGGGCCAAAGACAAACTACAGACCGACGAGTCGGTCGCCGGCGAAGAGTTCTTCGTGACGGACGACACGCAAATTCTGGATCCGTTTGAATTTCTGGCCCCATATGTCCAGTGCAGGGGTTATAGCCTATCGCAGCGATCGTATCCCTATTGGCTATTCATGATAATCATGTTTTTTATCGTGCAATTCATTCGCCTCTTGTGGTCAGTCTATCCGATAGAACTGCCGAAAGGATTAACGCCACAAAACATGCGATATCTTTGCAACACTTACTTCTTTAACCGCAATAAAGCGATTCTCCGATTAGATTACGAACCACTCTATGGTCACGAAGAATGCCAACAAAAATCCATTCAATACTATAAAAAGTTATATTTATAGTCCATTTTAGACAACAATCGCGAGTATATATTATTATGAAAATACAAATTCATTGAATTAAACAACAAATTAGCGTTAATTTGTGAGGAAAACATATTACACAATACGAAAGAAGACAACGAAATGACTTTTATAGTGTATTTTTAAGGAGAATTTGCTTTTATTTTTCAATACTTTAAGAATTGTTTTGAATTCAATATTAAGTTCTTTTATTCAAATTTATTGATTTTATTTTAAAATTCATTTTTTAATATATTAATTAAATACTAAAACAATCAGTCAATACGTCGGTATGTTTTTCTATCACAGACAACGAAAAACATGAAATTTTTGTTTGTATGACATTTAAATTATTATTACTTTCAAAATAATAATAATTAATAAATTATAATAAGTAATAAATAAATAAAATAAGCGCTTATTTTTAATCTCAAATAAAACTCAATTATATATTTTCTTATATTAATATATATTTATGTGAATTTGTTGTTTGTTTTAAAACTATTTGTCAAAATTAAAACTTAACATAAAAAGCAGTTTTTGTCTTACATTTAAAGAGAGGTAAACGGTTAGCAAATATTTATAATAATTAATTTAATAATAAATAATTTATAGTAAGAAATGAAAAATAAAATGACAAATAAAATCTCATTCAAATTCAATCGGCGATTGTTTTGTTGTTTTCTTTCTCTCAATAAACAAGAAATTTGTTTTTTAAGTGATTTTGTATTGTATTGTTTGTGTCGCTTAGAAAAAGACTATTAGTTTTTACACAATTTCTGTTTGGTTTTCAAATTGTTTAGAAAAAATTCTTTAAACTAAAACTCAAGAATTCATTTCCAATTATTATAATAATAAGACAAATAATGTATAGAATTTTTAAGCACAAGAATATTGCAAAAGAGAGTCTTTCCTTCATTTTAGGGGACAATTAATTAATTAATTACTTAATTAATAATTAATAAACATCTCATTCAATAGTAACAAATTGTTTCAAGAGAGAGGGGTATATATAATTTCATGATATACTGTATAATAAGTAGGGGTTTATAATGTTTTTTCTTGTTGTCTTTAAATACAAATAAATGTTTAATCATAAAAAGAGTCCATAACTTGAGTGGTTGTCGTGTTTGGTGTACTGTATGTGTTGTGTCGAGTAAACGAAGAATAATAGAAAAACAATTAGAAAACAAAGACTTGTTGTCTGTTGGATAAGTCATGTGGTTTGCGGTCAGACAATACATGTCTCTTATTATCAATATTATTATTATTTATTATTATTATTATTAATTAAGAGAATATATATTAATTGTTTTCTTCTTTCTTTGTCTCATATAAAATCTGTTTTCTTTTCATTTATTAATTAATTTTTATAATAATAATAATTGTTTTATTCATTATTAATAATTTCTTAATTATTATTCTTATTCTTCTGTTAGATATATATTATATCCTATAATATATATATTTGTCATAAAAAGAGTTGTGAAAAACCAAACGTTTTGTGAAAACAAGTGAAGAGAGAATACAAGAGAATTGTTAAGAGTGTGAAGAGAGAAGAGATGACAGAATTGAATCGTTTCTGTGTTTTTCAAACTTAATTGAGAAACAGATTTCGAGTGCTTCTGTCGCTCTCTGTCTGTCTGTTTGTCCGGTGATTGTGAATGAGATGTGAGAAAAAGAGAGCACAGAATACAGGCAAACAATAAGAGCGATAGAGAGACAGCAGTTGTGTTGAGTTGATGTCCAAAACACATGAATAACAAAAACAAACACATTATAAGATAGTAGACAAGAGATGACGTGAATTGGAAAAAAACAAAACAAAGTTAAATGACATCTTCAAAGGTATGGCAAACATTAGAAGACTTTTATGTCTTTTGATGTATAGATAATTCTGTTTCAGTACTTTGTATTTCACAGTTTGTATGCAATTATTAGTAATAATTGTAATAAATATGAATTGGTTCGTCGGCTTTAATGCTCATTCACTTCAGTTCCCATTACGGCTATTAAGTACAGCACCGGACGTCTGGTGCGATGGCGTCGTCTGCGGGCCCGTCGACGACGGGTTTAATGTCACTGTCCTGTTGTCAACTGTGCCGTAGATTTTGGTGGCCTTCTTAGCCATACTACTCAACAGTTCCAATGAGTTCTTATGCGTCGACTTCAATGAAATGAGCCATTCTTTTAGACCGATTTCGTCCTTAAATTATACGACAAAACATATGATTATATTTTATAACTTATAATAAAGAATCTAATATTTCTTCTGAAGTGCTTTTATTCAATATTTCATATTTGCATTCATTATGTCTTCAAATTTTATTACATTATTCTTATTGAATATTCTTATGGCATGTGTGGGAGAGAGCGCCGGATCTCACACTCATCACACATCACACTCTCTTTTCGTTGCATTTAGTTTTATTGTTAATATTAATGAAATGCAAAATTTAGTGCTAAGAATATATCACACATTAAGTATACCGACTATTAACCAATTCCTGATATAAAATTCAATCATAATATTGAATTAAATTTATTCACAACTTTTGACTCAGAATACACTTATTTTAACAATAAAACTAAGATTTTGTTAATGAATACGAGAGAGAGAGAGAGAATTCATTGATTGAGTGAAAGATGTGAACATTTTATGTGNAAAATTACTGTAATTAATGTAATAAAACACATGTTTTTATTGGCATTCTAAACATGAGGGTAAGAGAGAGAGAGAGAGAGAGAGAGTTTTATTCTTATGGTTGGATATATTGAAGATATTGTGTAATATATAGAAGAATTGTGAAGTAAAGTAAAGGTGTGGGGAATAGAGTGGGAGTAATGAAGTAATGGACAGTTGGAGTGAACACACAAATGGCGTTAAAAATGATTGCCAATTACGAGTAAATATATTTTATTCAAATAAAATGTTCATATATTTGTGCTAACCTTTTGCCAATTGTATACTAAAGTATCAAAACAAACTTCATGAGTATAAAGTATGGCTATAAAAGTAGAAGAAAATGCCCTTGCTCTATAAACCGACTATTATTATTAAACATAACGATTGAAACTCAAGACTATTAGCACTAAAAGATAGACATCGTGTAAATGGATTAGTGGAAGACCAGTCATTCAGACCATAAGTCGGTGTCCTCTCACAAAAAGGCATACAGTATTTGTCATTACATTTATGCAATCTTTTATACGAATATGATTTAGTAATTAAAACATTATTTTGTAAAACTTGATATAATTATGAGTTCAAAGCTATAGAGAATAAATGCTATTATGGTTGCCATCGATCAGAATATTGTGAGATAAAGCAATTTAAATAAAGTGGGATTACCAATATGTGTATACAGTATATAGTAAATAAAACAATTCTCTGAACAATTCATTTGCTCTAAATATACTGCACATCAAGTTTTAAAATCTAATCAATACTGTAATAATAATAATGATATTATTAATACAGTGCATAGTTTGCGGGTTTAGTTAAAACAGGGATTTAAGGGAAACAATGGTCAATAGAGAGCACAAATTATCACTTCATTTCTCATTAAGGATGGCATGAAATTCAGTGTTTATTTTGGTTGCAAAAGTTGTGATAAACAGAGCTTTACATAAATGCAAAGGTTTGATATTTTAGAGATAAATATTTCAATATTAGCGCTCATAAAAATAACACATAAAATGTTCACATCTTTTGTGTTTATTTTGGTTGCAAAAGTTGTGATAAACAGAGCTTTACATAAATGCAAAGGTTTGATATTTTAGAGATAAATATTTCAATATTAGCGCTCATAAAAATAACACATAAAATGTTCACATCTTTCACTCAATCAATGAATTCTCTGTTCATTTCCAATACACAAAGAATCGCAAAGAATATTAACATTTTGGAAACAACTTAATACCAGAATCTGGCTCTCGTTTCTCTGTATTTCTTTATTATACAGATATTCTCTTATTATGTAATACAGTCTTAAGGTATTAATTGAATTCAAAGCAATGAATAAATAATAGGAGCGTACAAAGAGAGAGAAAATTAAGATACCTTTAAAAAGGTGATAAATATTTAAATATTCATGTGATTGCGATTATCTGCTTATGTGTTAAACCATTATTATTACCAGAATTAATATAAAAACTAATTATTAAAATTGAGATTATGAATACATTTATTAATAAATAAATGTTGTCGCCACTTAATTATATACTATATTATATAGTCTACATATAATGTAATTAAAAATATGCAACATTTAAGAGAGGCCATCATATCTGGCAGTTAATGGATATCAGCAAATAATTCTGGATTTTTAAATTCTGAATTCATAAAAAAAATTACTGTAATTAATGTAATAAAACACATGTTTTTATTGGCATTCTAAACATGAGGGTAAGAGAGGGAGAGATTGGGAGAGAGAGAGAGAAAGAATGAGGGGGAGAGAAGAGTTAAGTAAATAAGTTGATGTATGGTTTATGGTTGTAAAAGAGCAACAAAATAGTAGAAAAAATCGATTTGGAAAACACGACTACTCACAGGATTAGTGAGAACTACTTTGGCGTCCTTTTCTCTGTCGACTTTCATTTTAAGTACTATTGATTGTTCGCCTTTTATTTGCACGTAATCACTGCATACGTCCTCTATTTGGTCCATAAATATTAACTGCAATTTAATTGTTATATAAATATTAGACAATTTGTGATTAGAAATAATTAAAACATATATTGACATAAATATGGTTTGGTTTTGTGTTGTGTTTTCTTTTTAGACTTAAATTGATTTCATGTAATAAACGATCATTTATTGGAAAAACTAAAATACTTAGAAAAGTAATTATATTTTGTGTCCGTAGAGTGGAATCAGTGATACAATTGAAAACAACAATTGTTTTGTATGTAATGTTTGCCAAATATATTGTATTTTACTCAACACTACATAGACTACAGTATATATTATTATCATTATTAGTATTAAAATCGATATCTAAATTATTTTCGCAAATATTTTATTATTCAGTAGAAAAACAAATTTATTTGTTCAGTGAATGAATTGAATGAATAAATAATTAACACTTAATTTGATTGAACCGTAAGGGGAGAGCACATCATAAACGTAAATAAAATAAAAATACAATTCAATTTGCGTACAAAATATGTATTAAATTATTATAAATTACATGAGAATAATGTTTATCCGAAGGAATGATTTAATTTAAAATTTATAAAACGATATTCTTGTGTAAAGTGTGGGCGAAAGAAGTAGTTTAGTAACAAATTAGCTAAAAATAAACCGTATATTTTCGCACAAATAAATACAAAACTAATTTTTAAGTAAAATTTGTTTAACACATGCAATCGTTAAGTAAATATAACAACAAAATATCCATTTAATGATTAAAATAGGAAATTCAAAATATATTCTTTGCTATACTAATAGCTAACACCATATAAACACGTATAACACTATATTCTGTATATTCAATGCATTATAAAATCAATAAATACAACACAAATATTAATTATTTACAAACAACAATATTCATTAACGCATACCTCAAAGCATTATAGATTATAACACATTTTAATAATAAATAAAACACATATACTGTACAGAGTAATGGCAAGTATTGCACATATATTGATATATTACAACAATTAGTAATTCTTGGCAGCATTTTATGTCCTTTTCATTCAAATAATTCATGAGACAATCAATTGATGCCTCAATGAATGAGAGAGAGAGAGAGAGAGAGAGAGGGGGAGAGAAGAGTTAAGTAAATAAGTTGATGTATGGTTTATGGTTGTAAAAGAGCAACAAATTAATATATAAAATGTTATTATTTAGAGAGAGAGAGAGAGAGAGAATTTGTTGACAAATAATGGTTGTATTAAAGCCTCAATTGTCTACTCGTGTGCTAATAATAGGACACAATAACATATACATGGGTTTTGTGGACGATTTCTAAGACGTGATCTCATAAATGAATAATTAATTCACTGCGAAATCTATTTGTTTGTTTGCTATCATTATATGATTAGATGTGTTGTGTGTCTCCAATAGTTTCGTATAATATTTCTGTCATTAAACAGATTCTCACTCTATATATAATAAATCATATCATATGTACACAAAAACACACACAATATTGAAATCTAAACACAAATATTATCTCAGATTCTGTGGTCGACTATAAGTGAGATAAAACAATAGGATTTGATATCAAATAAAATAAAGTAATATTTAGCAGAAAATAAACAGAAAACTGAAAAAACAATATTTACTGAATTATTGAATAAATTCTGTTGTCTTTATTATTATTGTTTTCGTAAAAATATAAACGTTAAGCGAATGAAATATTTATTAAAAACACTATTTTAGCCTAAAATTGATTTTTTTAGCTACAATTTTATGTCTGTTTTTGTGTCGGAAAATAGTTTCTCTCTCAGCGTCTCGAATATTGAAGTGAAACACAGTTTGTGTTTGTGTTTGGCTTAACAGTAAATTTGAATAACAATATCATAGTATATGTGACTATTTTTAGCGACAAATAATATCGTTTATAAAACTCAGTGAATCGTATAATAGTACTGAAGAGAGAGAGAGAGAGAGAGAGAGAGAGAGAGAGA